ATGCGTAGGGCGCACTTTCGCTGTCTTTTCTGCCGCAGCGCATGCAGTCGCTGCGGCGGGAGGTTGCCCTGGGAGCGCCGGCCGTGCGGAGGGCCGGCAGCTCCCAGGGCGACCTCAGGAAGAGGAAGGAGCGCCGCGCGTGCGGCTGCTCCTCCTCTTCCTGGGCTCGGAGACGACTCTATTAGTCGTCTGCCGAGGCCCTACCTGATGTAAAGCATAACTCATCTTAAGTCTCTTTCACTAATTAAGTCCACCTGATTAACTTTTCATGTTTTTTTCTCTCTCAGACAGACTCCTATATTTACATTGTTGTTGTTGTTGTTGTGTATCTTCAAGTCATTTCTGACTTGTGGCCACCCTAAGGTGAACCTTTCACAGGGTTTTCTTGGCATAATTTGTCAGAGGAGGGGTGCCATTGCCTTCCTGTGAGGTTGAGAGAGTGTGATTTGCCCAAGGTCACCTAGTATGTTTCCATGGCTGAATGGAGATTCAAACCCTGGTTTCCAGAGTCATGCCTTTGCAGACTGCCAGAAATAGTGCAAATTGAGTCCACTTTAACTGTCCTGTCAGTGCTAGGGAATCATGGGAATTGTATTTTTTCTGGGACATTGAGCCTTCTCTGCCAGAGAGCTCTGGTGCCACAATAAACTACAGTTCCCATGATTCCTTAGCACTGAGTCAGGGCAGTTAAAGTGGACTCAATTTGCACTATTTCTGGCAGTCTGCAAAGGCCCATAGTCTGACACTCAAACCACTACACCACTCTGGGTCTTCCTTCCTCTCTCTTACCTTATTTTATCTTATATTTATATTTATGTAACTGAATGTTCATGGTTTCATGATACACTATGAAGACATAAGTCACAGAATACACTTATGTTTTGTCTAATGTGATTATCATCAATGTATAGGCTTCATGACCTGAATTTTTGCCACATGTACCCAAAATTTAGCCTTGAGCCCATAAAATGTAAAAGTAAAGATTTCCACTTTGAAATTATTGTCAAGTTGTGTCCAACTGTAGGGGGTGGTGCTCATTCTTTTACTTAGCCAAGGGAGCCAACATTGTCAAAGATTACTCCACGGTCATGTGGCCATTATGATGCACAGAATGCTGTTATCTTCCCACTGAAGTGGTACCTATTTATCTACTTGCACTTTTACATGCTTTGGAACTGCTAGATTGGCAGAAGCCTGGACCAATGATGGGAGCTCACTCCATCTCATGGTGTTTGGGTCTCAAACTGCCGACTTGCCAATCTGGCAATCGTCAGAGTTGGCATCATAACTGTTGAGCCACTGCGTCCCATCTTGAGCCCATAACACAACACAAAACTTCCAACTGCATTAAGTATCTTGCCTAACTGTTGATAGCCTGCAATGTCTGGTTAGTATAAAATGGATGGATGCCTATCTTCCAGTTTTCAAATCTGCTGAAAAGAAGTATTAAAAAGGGATTAGTGCCCCCTACACTTGAACAATACCCAGATATTTTGTTACATAACAAGTCATTTGTGTCAAAAGAACAGATTATTTATGATTCCACTCCCTCAGTCCTATCCCTCTCAGGACAGGCTATCAAACTGACACAGCCAGGAAAATCTCACTTTCTGTTGATTTCTTGCCCCCCCCCCCGCCCCCCAGCAACAGTATTCTTTCAGCTTGCCTTGGATCAATGCCACCTACCTAGCAATCCATGCAGAAACAAATGAACACAGTTACTCATTTTCTGAATCAGATATTGCCTTTCATCAACAGGAACTGTCCTGCACGTGTGTGTGTGTGTGTGTGTGTGTGTGTGTGTGTGAGAGAGAGAGCTGACAAATGTAGAGATTTCATCTTAGTGACATTCTCATTATGATTTATTTAAAGGGACAGTCTAATGCAGTTTGTCTCTGAGAAAGAGAGAGGAAAAAAGAGCAGAGAAGGAGGGAGGGAGAGTGAGAAAAAGCAGTTCTTGCCTGAAGAAAGTTGTCCTTGTGTGAACCTACATTCTGGCAAACACTAGTGCTTGCTTCATGAGTCTGTTTTTCCCCTGGGTTTGCCCTCTTCTTATCACTAGCATGTTTCCAAAATGGCCATCATTGGTAGTGCATATATTAAAAATAGCCATCCCCTCCACACCAGCCTTTTGACAGCCCCACATTTTTACAGATAAAAAATATGCCTACCAAAGAAGGCCCTATGAACAGGGCTAAAGTTGGCTCTGCCACCATGTTGTTAAACACAGTGGGAGGCATGGCTTCAGAGAGAAATGATGTGCTGGACTTCAGCCTCTCTTAGGAAAAAGAGGGGGAGGACATGCCCATCCAAGCCTTCATTAGTTTCAAAGACAAGGTCCCTTTGAAAATCCTGCCAACAGCCACTTCATGTTAGGGAGGGAGAAAAATGTTCAGTCAGAGATCAGCAGTGCTAGAAGGCAAACAAGGGCATTTGTGCAATCTGATAAACATCATTTATTGGATCTGCTACTTATTTACAAGCTGGCATTGTAAAGGGCAGCTTCTGTGTGGAAAGTAGTTCCTTATCTTTGAGGGGTGCAGAGAGATACACAGCAACTACCCTTTCAGTGACAACAGGGATGGTGGAAAGGTTTTCATCCCCACTGTAGTACTCAATGCAGAATTTTACTTCTTCTTTTAAGAACGGATGTTAAACATTTATTTCCATGTAAAGAAAGGGACACTGAAAAGGGAGACCTAGCGACTGGAGCACATAGAAGTTATGCATCCTCCATACAACTGAGTCCCAAATTGCAGACTATTTACTCTTAACCTATACATTGCAGGTTCTGTGACACTACAGCAAGGTGGAGAACTTCACATCTTACTGAATTCCAGCTCCCAGTATCCCTGACCATCACGTCATGGTTGCAGCTGCTGATGGAAGTTGGAATTTTGTTAGAAGTTCAACAATGCTTAGTGCTAAAAAGTCCAGAATGCCTTGGAGAGGGCAGTAGCAGTAGGGTTAGATAGTCTGAGTGGCCCAAAGTGTCCGCTCTTCTGGTCTGTCTATCCTGTTCCCTCTGTAATGTAAACTGATAATCTTAGGGATGTTTTTCCATCTTTTCTCTTCTCTTCCATCCAGTTCTCTATCAGCTCTTTCTTAGAATGAAACTCGACTGGGTTAGCACCCTGAGTAATTTTCTCATCTTAAAATAGAGTTCCTGTAATAAAGCTTTTAGTTTGTTTCTCCAAACTTTTGGTGTCTTTGTGCCTTAATCAAGTTCTCTAACTCAGGGGTAGACAACCTAAGGCCCAGGGGCTAGATGCCGCCACCCAGGCCGGTCCTGCTGCCGCCACCGCCGCCCCCCACCATGATGATATTGATTATTGTTGTTATTACTTGTTCTTGGGGTTTTCTTGGCAAAATCTACACAGGGGTTTTGCCATGGCTTTTCTGGGGCTGAGAGAGTGTGCATGCATTTTTTTTAAATTTTTTATTTTTAAAAAATTTATTTATTTATTTATTTATTTATGGTGCTTCAGCCTCCCCCCCATTGTCTGAGGGACAGCAACCCAGCCCCCAGCTCAAAAAGGTTGCCTACCCCTGCTCTAACTGCTGTACACACTCTCAAATTCAACATCATCTAGAATAGTGGGTCTCAGCCTTTGGTCCTCCCAATGCTTGGAACCTCAATTCACACAATTCCTGACCACTGGCCATGCTGGATGGGGAGTTCTGAGAGTTGAAGTCCAAAACACCTGCAGGACCAGAAAATATAAAAGGACTGTTCTAGAGTGCTGCAGCTACCCCATAGGCAACCTGATGCCATCACAATTTTTGGACAAAAATTGGACAGAGATTGTGAGCATTGCAATCCAAAATATATGTAGAGCATATATATTTATATATATATATAAATGGTTACCTATTTATGCACTAAAGCATAAGAGAAAAAGGCCTGAATTTTGTGATTGATTGTAGATATTAGGGACTATTTTTTGTTTTTATTTTTAAAGCATCTCTTTATCTCAAGAGCTTATTGCATTACAAAATAAATAGCTTTACCACTGCCATTTTGAATTCTTTTACAGCAGGGGTAGGCAACCTTTCCCCTTTAAGGGCCGAGGGACTTCAGCTCCCAGAAGCCTCAGCCATGTTGGCCAATAGTCCCAAGTTGGCCAATAGCTCCTGGGATTCTGGGAGCTGAAGTCCCTTGGCCCTTAAAGGGGACAGGTTGCCTACCCCTGTTTTACAGGATGCATCTGGGTACTATCACACGCAAAATCTGCCCCCCCGGGGGTGGTGGACCTATTCAAATGGTCCGCCCTCGA